TACAGACGCAATCAACGTAGAACTCACGAATGTACACCAGCATGCAAAGAACAAGTGGGGAGAAAATAGAGTAGCATTAAAGTACACAAAAGTAAATGGAAGGAGAAAGAATTTGAAAATCAAGGTTAGTGAAAATGTTCAAACTTTCAAAGACATGACAGAGTAAATAAACTGCACCACTGACACTTTCAGCCGTTACCAAGAGCTAACCGTTGATTCCTATTATCTCGAGGACCTCAACTATGCAGATCCTAACTCCTTGCACGGCTCTGACCAAAAGTCATAGGTTTTATGAACTAATGCCACGTCTGGTAGCTTTGAGTCTTTTCCCAACCAAGCCCATTTTAGCTAACATTACACGGCATATGCAACACTTGTCTAAGTTACCTCAGCTGGTGAAAGCCCACGACCTCATCCACCAACTTGTTCAGAACTATCCACCAAAAATGAACAATACTCACACAGTGATTCCATCATATGTGAGGAATCCTGCAAAGACATGTGGTCAAAAACTTCCAGCCTACTCACACCCGAATTCAAAACCACCATTTCTCACAGAGTAATACGGCCCAATATACTTGCCAGTGTTTTGTTCTAATTAAGGGTGAACTCTGGCCTAAATACGTGGTTTCGTTAAAATGTAGCTTTGTCTATTTATCTACGTCTAAAATCTAACGATAACGACTTATAAAATCTACGCCAGTGGTGGGAGTTAAGACATTAGCTGGAAAGAAAATGGAATGGAGAGGCTTGCATAGACCGATTTGGGGACAGTTATACCTTTTTAAGAGGCTTCTGATAGTTTCTCGTTAGCCTCTTCCAGACCAGAGGATGAATTGTGACGACGTTTGTTTCTAGTTACAGGAAAAACGCTTACTTCTGTGCCACCGTCGACGAGATGGTGGAGTTTCACTTTCATGTCTGCCACGCGTAACGAAAGGTTATTTGCATTAAATGTTTCCCGTTACTGACTACATATGAGGCATCTTCGTAAACTATTGCAGTCTTTATTGAAAGTGGGCAGTTTTCGGCAACTTTATACTTCCATGGCGTAGGTGTCGTGGAACATACACCGTTAAAGGTTCTCAGGACTTTGAGGTTTTGCTATCAACAGATCACTGGAGCTGTAGAAGCAGGACGAAATCACTGGAGTGCCGCCATCTAGGGCTTTGAGTTTTAAAAACACTAAAATCTACTAATTAAATTTCCAACACTTCAAAGAACCATACAAAGGTGTGCAAAAACGGATGACAAGAAAGCGAAAGTACATGAGAGGAAAGATAAAAAGATGACGATTACTGAAAATACTCAAGGCTTCGAAAATAATAAAGAGTGAACACATCTGTGCCAATGAAACAGATTTTAAACCAACGATCCAGGATAACTGATTCTTCATTTTGTCCGGGGATACCATTGATGAGCTTGACCCTAAACCAGCAAGAATGTCATCAGGTGCTGAGATAGTTCTCATCTGGCTAGTGAAATCTACAGATAACCCAGAGTGCCTTCTAAATACTCAGGTCGTTCATCAGCATATTCTACTAAATTATCCTTTTAAATACTTAGCAAAGCACTCTTACTGGAAACCGGCAATTAACATTGTAGTAGTGCTAAAAGCGGTCGCTCATACGCCATCAAAATAAAACTTGAAGTTAAAGCGGTAGGTTCTCACTAATCTAAACGCATGGGCAGCCTTCGACTTCCTAATGAGTAGCCAACAAGACTAATGGGCACACTGGGGATGTCATTCTTTGAAGCCAATAATTCTAATACCTGATTATTTCAATGCAAATGCATAATATGATGACTTTTCATCGTCAACATATCTGATATCTGTAAGCCTTATTTGTTTTAGGGTTTTGCTTCTTTGATAACCAACAGTAGCCGAGGGATACATCCGCATGTGCGTGAAAAAAATCAGCTCTGCTTCCGTCACTTTGAATATATGTTAATATTGAACCAAACGCTGACGCAGACTGCTACAAGTTTCGTATCAATCAATCAATATCAACATAGGACCAGGCATTACTGCGTAACGGTCCGAGTTACCACACCTCATATGAAGATAGGTGAATGCAGTCAAAAGAAATATAAAGTACGAGGAGAAAGAAAGGAGGGATGACAAAATGGTGAGACTCGGTATAGCGTCGTTAGGATGACCATCATGTGTGTATACATCTGTGTCACTGACATCGGTTCTCAGCCATATCACCTAGAGTCAGTCTCCAACCACTGGTTCTTGTCCCGTAGACCCCAACCACCTAGTCTGCATCGCCCCACATGGCTTAAACCAACAGTTAGAGACTTCATATATTGGTGCCATGATTTAGTCTGGCAGTATCTTGCCTTTTTCCAGCCTGAAGCTACTTCGGTCAACATTGTGTGACGAGGCAATCGGTGACTGGGCATACGTAGTCCCAACCATCTCAATTGCATATTCAGTCATAATCTTGAACTAGGTCAGTTTTGATAGATGTTAATTATACTCCATCAAAGAATTCAAGTGTATGCACGTAACAAGCAACAGGTGATCTTATGTTTTAAAAAGGAGTTATTATCGATTCAAGTTTGCAGAGGACATTCAGTATGTTAGAAGAGAAATCCGTTTGCTTTTCTGCTTACCTTGAGTGACTCTAAAAGCTACACAGTAACTACTGTAACAACAGATTAGGTTTTTTTATTGCACGTCAAACCACCATACCAGGTGAAACGGAAAAATAAATTTTCATTTCACTTCATTAGCTGCTATGGAAGCGTTAATAATCATACTCTGCAGATTACGATTTAGTAATCACTGCCGGCGACTTCAACACCCCGTCCATCCTCTTCAACATGGAAGGGAAACACATAAAGTCCTTCAGTCAGAAGCTGAAGAATGCAATTAAGACTGCTGACCTCTCAGAGAAAGTAAATGATGCCACATGCTAAGGATCTCACAGAAAGGCATTGCACCTTGACTACGTTCTGAAGAACGATGATCTTTTCATTGAGGATATTTGTATCCAACCTCACCGTGGCCTCAGTGACCACGCAGTAATAACTTTCACCACGATTACTGGAGAGGCCCTGCAACCAAAGACGCCCAACACCTTCCTTTGCTACAGCAAGGCTAACTATGAGACCATGAGGGACTATCTCATGAACGTATCATGGTTGGTACACTGGACTCATCTCACAATAGATGAACACTGGTTACAGGTGAAGAAAATAATCGTTGGGGCTATCAGTCACAGTGTACCAGAAGTAACACATAGACTGTCAGTGAGAACCTCATGGCTAAAGCGTGAGACGGAGGCTGATCCACAGCAGGAAGCGGGCTTGGTTCAAGTGGCGTTCATCACACAGGCAGTCTGACTTTCTGAACTACAAAAGGATTCGTAACCGCTGTAACATTAGAGTGCGTAGCGACAGATTCACCCATCAAACAAACCTGGTAGGAAGGTTACAAAGCAACCCCGAAAACCTGTACCGCTTCATGTCGAAAAGGAAGTCGACCAGCAAGGGAGTGAATCTTATCACAGGTCCTGATGGGAGTGTACTAAGCAGTCTAGAGATTGCTGAGCTTCTGAGCTCACGCTTCCAAGCCCAACTTAGTACTGACACCAAACCCTCACAGACTCGTTACCACACCGACCAGGTCGCAAATAACGAATACCTCTGCCATATCTCAATCATAGAGAAAAAAGTGTTAGAGAAACTATCTAGGTTACGTCCAGGCAAGTCCCATGGCTGCGATAACCTAAAACTGGTGGTCCTAAAAGACTGCGCCGAGGTGTTTGCAAAACCAATCTGCAACCCCTTCAAGCACTCAGTAGAGTCGGCAAACTCCCTAAAGAATGGAAGAGAACCATCTTGTCACCCATCTTCAAGGGAGGAGACAGAAAAAGCCCTGGCAGCTACAGACTGATTGCTCCATTCCCTGTAGTGTAGAAAGTGTTGGAAAGCCTGGTAGCTGACACTATCTGGGAATTCCTCAATAGGAAAAACACTGTCCATACTGTTCAGCATGGATTTCGGAGTGGTCGCTCATGTGCCAACAACTTGCTAACCGCCTAGGACGACTGGACACTAAGCTGGGACAACAGAGAACCGCTACATGTTGTTTTTCTCGGCCTAGCCAAAGCATTTGGCAGTGTCCCACCCACAGTACTGCTTCGCAAGATCATGTCAGCTGGTGTAAGTTAACCTCTACTCTCTTGGTTCAAGGAGTACCTGGAGGGAAGGCAGTTATGCACCAAAGTAAACAGAATAAGGTCGGAGTGGAGACCCTCGACGTCAGGAGTATCCCAAGGAGCAGTCCTAGGACCACTTCTGTTCCTCCTGTTTGTCAACCATCTGCCAGACAAAACATCCCCAACCATCCTCCTCTTCGCTGACGACATTAAAATTTGGAGGGTAGTAAACGAAGAAGCTAGAAAATAGACGTACACTATCTACTTTTACCTTTAGGGCAGTTCCTACATACTCCTTTCTTTTACCTCCCTTCTTTTTTCCCTTTTCTCCTCTTCCCCTTTTCCCTTCGTTTTCTTATTTTACCATTTACTTTTTTTATTCAGGTACCTACACAGACGAGTCACGACAGTCGCCTAACCGTCCCAGAAACACGTAGCTCCCCGAACACTCTACAAATTGCAACTTACCAGCCCATAAAACGTCCATCTCACCGAAGTTAAAAGCAGGAATGCAGTGGTGATTGCCCCGTCCATTGCAGGAGTGAACCGAGCAACTCGAACCAAGCCCTAAGAGCTAGACGCGAGAGATTAAAAACTATCAGTTTTCTACGCTCACGCTATCGATATTGGATTACATATTTCGAAAGTTAAACAGGCTTCTATCTAATTTACTCACAACATCATCAAAATAAAAAAAGGCTAATATCAAGCACAAACAGAAAACCAGTGTTACAATAATACTTGAAAATACTTCTTGGATTAATAACAAAATTGCAAAAGACTTCTTATTCGACCGATCATGGTATATAAATCCCAATTGAAAATTACCCAGTCTGCATGGTCATCTAATCTGTCCAGAAGTTCACGGCTAGCAGGACTGCGATGCAGCATCTCAACCATTTTGAGGAACAAACGCAACAGCAACGTAGCAAACTTCTATCGAAAAGTCCCTTGCACGCAATAGCACAAAGTAGCACAGTTAAACATTCAGCATCCGATATCAATAGTGCGAGTAGAGGAAACTTGTAGTTTTTGAGCTTTCACTTGTAGGTCTTGAGGCTCCGTCCTTTTTGTTTGGTCGTACTCTTTTGGTGGTAGCACAGGTCTTTGCGTTTTCTTGATCATAACCTTGGAGGTAATCTTTGTCTATTTGAAGGCATTCTATTTGCAAATCATAGCATTGTTTGTTTGAGGGAAAAGGTGGGCAGTGGAACTGCTGATAAGACCAGTTGACCGTCTGCACCCATGAGTAAGTATTTAGCATTACTTTAAAAGTGCTAGGATGGGGTGAGTGGGGAGTGAGAAAAAGAGGAGTGAAAAGTACTTATGAAAAGATAAGTGTTACTGGCAATAATAACAAGAAGAGATGCATCTTACTGCTGATACCACGGTTAGGAAATGCATAGATGGAAGGGGGTATCATCATTTGCTACTGATAAATGTTCGTGGTAAGTTATTTGCGCTCACATACTCATCCAATAGTCCTTTGGGGAGTCGACTAATATAGCTATGGCCACTTCCTTTGTCAGACGTCCCATCAGGCACGTACTCTGTAGGGGAAGTTAGGTCTCACTCTCGTCCTTGCCCTATGGTTGGGCATGCCAGGTGAGTTCCCACGGGACTATTGGTTATGGACTGATAACGTTTTCCGATTTGGGTGATCCACTTGGTGAACGATCCTTCGATGGCTTAGTGTGAACAGGTTGGGCTAGTTGTCCGAACTGTTACGCATATGCTTCACCAGTTAGTCCGACAACCGACCTTGTCTCTCTTCTCTGTACCTTCTCGAGAGCATTTGTGTCTCACTTTGGTGGTGCGGATGGGTATCTTGTTGAAAACCTCCAAATGTGGCCTAACATAGGTTTTAGGTACTAAAAGGAATAACTCTGGCGTTATCGATCCGGGCTGCCCTCTTAGAAAGTGCATAATGGCGTTAGCCTTTGCTGCCGTCCCCTCATAATTGCCCTTAATATCCAGCGTGTCAGAAAAGTTCGGTCCTAGGTCCTTCTCTGTGGAGACCTTGGTGACTGCACACTTGTTTAGAGTGTAGCCAATTTCCATCGCTTCTGGCATGTGAACATACATCACCTCGCATTTCCCCATATTAAGGCTTAAACCGTTTGCCACTGAGCAGGACACCAGCTGAAACAGGTCACTCTGGAGTATCCTAGGTTGCTCTTCCTCACCTATCATCCTCCATATTTTGATGTCATCGGCAAATAGGAGGATAAACGGGGAGATTTCAATAAGAAGGTCATTTATGAGCAGCAGAAGTAGGAGTGGCCCAAGGACTGCATCTTGAGAAACTCCTGTTCTTGCATTCCCCCAGGTTGATCGAATCCTGTTTATTTTAGAGCAGAATTCTCTGTCCTGTAGGTATGCTGTAAAGCATGCTAAGAGTGGTTCAGTGTTACCCACTTTTGAAAGTTTAGCAGGCACAGTGTAGTGTGGGACGCCATAAAAAGCTTTAAGTACAAGAGTATAACGTGGACTGGTTGCTTGTTGTTCCGTCTAGCTGTCCAGTCACCCCAAGTGGTCATCAGGTTTGTGGGATATGACTGCCCGGTTCTTAAGCCATGCTGGATGGGATCAAAGATGCTGTTCTTATTCAGTAGGTCCCAAACAACATCTGCAGTCTGGCTTTCCAGTACCTTTTCTCTGTATTTGCCTTTGGGTTGCGCAAGTTACCCAGGACCGTTTGAGAGGTGACCGTCTGTTTATTTTTGGAACGCTCTTATCGATAGTGCTCCAGATAATATCTTAAATATGTATCCACTGTTTGACAATAGACAGTGAGTCCGATTCTTATGGTCGTGCAGCCTTCAGGAGTCCATTGTTCATGAAATAGTAATCTGCTTTTCAGTAACAACGGAACGCTTCCGGCTCAACTATTGGCAGTATCTTCTTGGTTATCAGAGAGACTCTCACCGGGGCGTGGTCACTCTTACCTAAGATGGAGTTGAACACAGACATCGTCCACCAAAAGATCACCGTCTGTTAGAATGTACTCAGGTGGTGATTCTTTTCAATCTAGTCTCCATCTAGAATTTCCCCCAACCTTCTCTATCAGCCCTGCTGCCATAAACGCATTCGAAACTTTGTGTTCGAAAGATTTATGCCCACATCTTACTTCACATCTCGGGTCTAGTGCCGGTGTTTTAAAGTCTCCAGCGAGAACTACATGGTCACAGGCGGCCGAAGTGGTTGTTGAAATGGCACTGATCAGTTGTGTTTTATGCCCCGTCGTGCAAATGGGAGGCCATGTACCACTCCCAATAGGTAACCAGCTTGGTTTATGGTGTAACAGCGCCAGAAGGAGTCTGGTAGTAGGCTGAACACACCATCAATTGCTTCTTTGACCTTAGCTGAGTGCCAATACCCATGGCAACTCCTCCACCCTTTAAACTATCTGTCACTTCGGAACAGGGTCATGCTGGACAAAGATATTTCTTCATCCACGATGTCTGATGACAGCTGGGCCTCCGTGGTGAGAACTATATCTCCTTGCATATTGTGATGAATTGTTTTCAGCTCCAGTAGTTTACTCCCAAGACCTCTCGCGTTGCTGCAGAAGCATGCAAAGGAGCTTCGTTCTGGGCTTAGTGCAATATGGGGGTTTGTTTGGAGGCTAGTGTGCTGTTGCACCGGATTCTGCCCGCCAGTTCGTATTGGACTGGCAGGTCTCCCTTTTTGGTCCCTTTCGGCATTCTGGTGTCGTTGTGACGGTATTGTTTATTGCGTCTACAGATAGTTCATTGGCTGGTTCTTTCCTGACTAGTACCGCTTGTAGTGTTCGTCTAGTCTGGCAGCTAGCGGTTTACTCTCACGGGATCGTATGGCACCTCCTATTTGGTCTTTTACACGGTACCGTGCTGTGAGAGCCTCTGTTGGTGATCCTTTGCAGCCAAAGCATACAGCTAGCAATCCTGATGAGGAAATGCTCTGCAAGTGCGTAGGTCTTGGCAACCTACTTACGCTGCTGGCAGGCGAATTCTCAAGCCCCGTTTTCGCTTCTAACCACTTCCACTGCTCGACGTCATGGGGGTTATCATCACACCATGTGTGTCCACCCGCCAGTTCAGGTATTTCATGCACCACCGTGGTCGCAGCTTTGCACATTGAGGACTTTCTCCCTGCCTCTCAGGTGACCTGAGGTTTGTCTGTTTTCACCCTAATGGGGCAGGAACCTGCAATGTCTGGTTGGCGCAACAGGGGCGGTATGTTCTCCGACTGTTTCGCTGTCATTGCTGATACCCTTGGAGGCGGTGGCCTGCCTTGAGGTGCTCCACTTCCTCAGGCGAGGCGGCATAAGTTAGCTGCGATGGCCCCCATTTCCAGCCTGCGATAGTAGTTGTTCCACCACTCCTTGTCGGACTGTTCTCTTTTTCCGAGGGTGAGTCTGTCGGTATGGGGGCAATGGACAGATTCATGGAATCCGTTCTGTTGTCCTATGAGTGTGGGACATTGGGCTTAGTGGCCAGTGCTTTTGGTCTACCCTTTAGCCTACTCGCTTCCGTCCATTCGCTCTCAGTGCAACCTATTTCCACAGGTTGTTCAGTTCCGTTAGTCTTGGTGGCTGCGATACAGGTGAGGACATTTTTGGTGCCTCTCTTGGAGCAGGGACTTATTTCTCCCTATTTCTAAGGGTGACACTTGCACACTTGTGTAGCTTGACCAGTTTTTGAGGGTAAATTATTGGAGCTCGTGCTTTTTGACGTCTTTGGCCATACCAGGTTTTGTACTTTGTCGGTGGTGATACCAGATGATTTCTGACATTCTGGACAGGCATACCGCATCCATTTGCATGGGTGCTTCATCATGAAGCTGTGGCACTGACCTGATAGACCACTGTCACAGTTACGATGTGCCCATTTAAGACAGACGTTGCACACGAAGGCTTTTTGAACCTCTGACACCGATTCCTTACAAACAACACAGTCGTCTGAGGTTCTGTCTTCGTTGACGACCGGGTGGTTTGACTTCTGTAATGATGGAGTCAAGCGTAGAGTGTGTCGGCGTATTCATTGCCGACATTCGCGCTTCCCTTGTGCCTTATTTTCTATCAGCGGTATGTTTGAGGACGTGCATCAGCCACCATGGCTACGTGAGCTTATCGTTTTGATAAATACCGTGTCTGGCGAGCCAGTGCTATGGGATCCTAGACGACGGAGATAGTGCTGTGTCCATCTTTTCTGCACAGACTAGATTTTGTCCGACTGCAGATCTCGCCATATGACTTAGGGCTTGTGATCTAGATTTTGGACCATCATAGTTAAGTGGTTTGGCATGCGAATAGTGTTAATAAAGAGGAGAATCAAGCATGAAGTGAGTAGCTTACCAACAGGAACTTGGTACTCGGTTACCCTCACTTTATCAGAAACTTTGACCGAATACTTCAAGTGCGTAGCTACAGACCAAGTAGGACGTTTCTTGGCGAACGGTCTCCGAAGGGAGCCAAAAACTGTAGCAGTCGGAAGGTCTAGACGACTACGAATTGCTAGCAGGAAGTGTTTACGATTTAAAAAGATAATAACGTCGCTGTAGGTAGCAATTTTGGGGTCCAGTTGGAAAACTGAATTGTGTTCACTATCACGGTGTGGCCGACGGCTGTTTTTCGGTGATAAACACCGTAGTACTGCCACTAGACTGAAGGTGAACAAAGCAAGAAGTTATTCAAGACGCACATATGGTGGGATAATCATGATATGTGGTGCGCTTTCAGAGCATTAAATGATTAAAACGAACTGAAGGGGAAGAACCCGGTAGAAGACATTTCAGTAGCTCAGGAGCTATGCAGGCCGCCTCAATATATCGGTCCCTTGATATCTATAACAGGTGACTAATCGTTCCTGTTGCTGCATGTGTTTGGTGTTGATTTGATGGACGAAGATTCGGTTAACGATCCCTTCCTGCATCCAACTGAGTTAGTTCTACGGACTGTCACCGTATTCCCTTCTGTTGT